ATTATAATTCTGAAAAACTACACCGACGACAAAAATTACCCATTTAATTAATCTCTAGAAATGAAAAAAATTCAAAAGGAAAGTGTAATTAATTCTAGAATTTCCTCTTTAAGAAACAGATTACACCATGTTAAATTTCTATCTCGAAATATTTCCTTTTGGCACATTGCAATTTTCAAAAAATTCAAATCAAAAATTTACGATTTTTAAATTTCCTTCATTAAATTCAGACAAAAGTGCACAAAGCACGAAAATTAAGGATTCAATTAAGCTCAAAGCCTTTCAAATGGCGCCAAGAACACAGCGTGAGAAAATATTCAAAATATCGATAGCCGGGTCAAAATGGACCCGTATCAGCAATATTCCAAAACTGAATTTTTCTGCAACTTAAAAGGCGATTGAAAAATCTGCCTCACGTCGACACGTGCAAGTGAGAATTAGAAAGTTGCACAAACGATAAAAACTTATCATCGTCGAAAATTCACCTTTTATTGGAAAGTTGTTAATGGGATCATTTTCACCAAAACCGGCTGTTCTAGCGTTAATCACCGTTATTAATAATACGAAATTGTGTATAATTATCCGAATAAAGAAGCGCGCGATGAAGTTGTGAAAACAATTATATCGTTGCAAGTACACCGGAGTGTGGAAGCTTATCTCGTTGTGATAAGCGATTTATCGAATTTTTATACGCGATAAAAATTGGCTAGCCGTGTACAGCTTGTCGTGACCCCGCGAATACGCGTAAAAGTTAATCAAACGAAACTCGAGATAAAATGTGGAAACGTAGTAAAACGGTTGGACGGGGAGAGTAAACTACGAACCAAACTGTCCCTGCAGCCGCTTTTTTCCATTTATCTCCCCGCGGTTGTACTCAGTCACAATAAAGAGATATCTTGGAAATTTTTCCGCGATGGACAATGTTGGGAAGCCGGATTCTCTAACGTGACAAAATATTTTGATCTTCTCCAGTTCCATTTAAACGTTGATTTATTGTTATATTTATTTGGGGAAAAAAGCTCCGTTATCTTCTCGTATCTTGAAATATCGGAAGTGTACGCTCTGTTGTTATCACGTTATGTGGTTATATTGTAATATGTCTCGAAAGAAAAAAGAAAAGGAAATAGATATTACATATTTGTGCATAGTATCCTTGATCTCGTGAACATTTTAAATATTTGTTCTTCCATTAATATATTGTTCCAAGAATCGTTGCTGTTATTAGGTCAATGTAAATGTTTGTTAATTTTTCTGAGGAAAAATGTTTATTCAATATACTGTTTCTTAAGCGAAACATTAGATTGTTTTGTAAGTGTATCAGTTTAACGCTCGAAGCTAGCTGACATTCGTCAATTATTTAATTAACCCCTTAACATATGACAACGTGTCAGACTCGTCACAGAGATTCTGGCGAAGATGTGAGAGAAATAGTGATATTAGTAAGAAAAATTCATTGTAATCCTAATTTTCGTTTAAATTTCTAAGACTGAGGATTGCTAAATGTATTTAATCTGTGACAGATCAGTTTTTGTTACCTGATACAGTACAGAAAAATGGCTGACGCTTAGATGCATAGTCAGAAAAGAAATCATAGGTTAAGGGGTCAAGTGGCATATTGTGTACGAAAGTTAATCACAGATCAAGATCTAATTTCTCCGATCACTTTTTAGTTGGATAAAAATTTATTTTGTCCAAAAATATATGGTTGTTAAATTCATTTTTGTACGGAAGATATAATTAACCTCATGTGGCATAAGTAGATTATGCTTCGATTAATAAATATTATATTTTATTAAAGCTAGACAGGTTGCAAGTTTGATCAACGCCTTGGTAATTTCATCTGCGGCAACGTAATATTTTTCTTGCTTATCTATGATTTTTCGTTACTTGGATAAAAATTGGATACTTGAAAAATTGCCTTATCCTTTGAAGCTGTAATGTTTGCAGTCCTAGTTTGAACTTCTTCTTTGGTATTTCTGAAAAATGTGCACCATACAGAGCAGCACGTTTCTCATTTACCGAAACAAATGAAAGACAGAAGTAATATCTGAACCATAAGCTGGGTGAAATAGGGCTTTCCACTTCACATAAAGAATTCTCTGCTGCGTTGCAATCTTTTCGTCTGGGGGTTGCTTTTGCGTTGGTGCACCTGTTTTAATCACTACTTCCATTCAGTGAATCAGATCAAAGAATTAGGTAGACACGAGGTGGGACAGTAATCAAATTTCTAGAATAATTAACTTGAAAATTTCCATTTTTTTTGTGCTCATGTACTGAACTAGATTATTCGATATACATGGTGTTCCAGCTAAGATCGAACACCTAAATGTGTGTCCTCCATTTTTAGTGATAGCAGAAAGGTTTCAAATACAGTTCACGTCCAACATGAATAGTTTTGATTATTTTTTAAAAGGTCATCCATATTTTTTTTGCTGAAAAGCATATACTTTTTTCTATTGTATCGCATGGGACGTGCCTAAGGCAGGGCTAGAACGTTCAAACCCCCCACTTAACCGCCTACGTTTTTCTCCATCATACCCTCTGCTACGTTTTCCGTCTACTGTTCCAGGCGTGACGCTTTCATATACACGGTGATATAATAAATTCTGTATTTACTTGCATTGTTCTCTTTTTGGTCTTATTGCTGCTATCGTTAAAAGAATGTTTCTTACGACCGTATACAGAATTTGAAGATCTATTCTGATTTTCTTCCATACCGTTTTGTATTTCTTCAAATTTTATTTCTTTTTCTAATCATGCGACACTCTACGCGTTAAAAATCGTTCTTTTGTCGGATTGCTTGCCGCCCACCTTTCAGTAAGTCGAGGTTGTAACTTTGTTGCCGGGAGTCGATCCCGAAAAAGCACAATGTTACAAACGCGTTACCGGGTTTACAACTTTGTTGCCGGAAGACGCTCCCAAAAATTGCACATTGTTGCAAACACGTTCTCGGTTTGCAACTTTGTTGTCTCGAAAATTTGCACATTGTTGCACGACGCCCCGTTTTGCAACAATGTTCACTTTTCGGGAGCGGCTCGGGGCAACAAAGTTGCAAACGCGTTCTCTTTTTGCAACTTTGTTGCCGGGAGACGCTCCCAAAAATTGCACATTGTTGCAAACGCGTTACAGGTTTGCAACTTTGTTGCCGCGGATCGCTCCCGAAAATTGCACATTGTTGCAAACGCGTGCTCGGTTTTGCAACTTTGTTGCCGGGAGCCGCTCCCAAAAATTGCACATTGTTGCAAACGCGTTCTCGGTTTGCAACTTTGTTGTCTCGAAAATTTGCACATTATTGCACGACCCCCCGTTTGCAACAATGTTCACTTTTTGGGAGCGGCTCCCGGCAACAAAGTTGCAAATGCGTTCTTCTCTCTTTGCAACTTTGTTGCCGGGTGACGCTCCCAAAAATTGCACATTGTGGCAAACGCGTTACAGGTTTGCAACTTTGTTGCCGCGGATCGCTCCCGAAAATTGCACATTGTTGCAAACGCGTTCTCGGTTTGCAACTTTGTTGTCTCGAAAATTGCACATTGTTGCAAAACGGGGCATCGTGCAACAATGTGCAAATTTTCGAGGCAACAAAGTTGCAATCCTGTAACGCGTTTGCAACAATGTGCAATTTTCGGGAGCGATCCGCGGCAACAAAGTTGCAAACCTGTAACGCGTTTGCAACAATGTGCAATTTTCGGGAGCGACTCTAGGCAACAAAGTTGCGATCTCGATAACGCGTTTGCAACATTGTGCAATTTTCGGGAGCGATTTGCGGCAAAAAAGTTGCAAAGAGAGAACGCGTTCGCAACTTTGTTGCCCCGAGCCGCTCCCGAAAAGTGAACATTGTTGCAAAACGGGGCGTCGTGCAACAATGTGCAAATTTTCGAGACAACAAAGTTGCAAACCGAGAACGCGTTTGCAACAATGTGCAATTTTCGGGAGGGTCTCCCAGCAACAAAGTTGCAAAATCGATAACACGTTTACCACAATGTGCATTCGAAAATAATAGGAGTTAACGATGTTACAAGCGAGAATGACGCTTGTAACAATGTTACATTCAAGCGTAGTGCTTGTAATAATATTTGCGTTCGAAATCACGTTTCTAATAATGTTGCAATCTGAAATAGAGGTTCCAACAATGTTTGCGTTCAAATATAACGCTTCAAGCAATGTTGCATTCAAGAGTAACGCGTACAACAATGTTTTGCATTCGAAATAGTGCTTCCATCGATGTTGCATTCGGTAATAGAGACTGCAACAATGTGTGCATTCAAGTTTCTAAGATGAACAGTGAAATAAAAGTATCTTGCTACTTAAAAATCACCGTCCCACGATATAAAAGTTTTTTTCCCGCTACTGCAACCGTGTCTCACATCTCGATCAATTTGCAACTTCAACTCACACGGGAACAAAGGCTGCGCGTAAGCAAAACGTTCATATACATTCTCAACATATTTCTCCACCCCTATAAATAACCCCTCTATGTAGAAGAAAATATGTCCTTTCTTGCGAAGAAAATACTTAAATTGAATTAAAATAAAGAAATAAATTCTTCGTTGGAAATCATTCCAATGGTGTTTTAAACATTACCGATATCACTCAAAACAAAGGAGATATTTAACACTAGAACAACCAGAGTTAAATGTAGTATATTTTTCCCTTCTGGTTCATTTAGGTATACTATATAAAGAACTTCGAAACTGCAAAGATTAATGGATAATAAATTAGTATATAGTATAGTTATTTGTTTATTTCAACACAAGTCATCACGTACTTGGCCAAAGGTACCTTAATCATTTCTGTAATTTAAAGTACGAAATCTGAAATCCGTCATTTTGACGGATTTGGTTGTTCTAGTGTTAAGAGTTCTAGTGTCAAAAAAGTTATACTGTTCTAAATAGTGTTCGAATATTAGTGGAAATCGCTGTATATGATCATTTTTCAGCGCAGCTAACTGCAACGAGAAGATCCTGTAAATTAAAATATACGTTTCACTTTCGATTTCACAGAGGGACGACACCAGTCTGCTTGCACAGTTTTTCTACGCGGACGAGTCTCTGAACACGGTCGCCTGCGAGTTGGACTCGTTCGACGGCCGTCAGGAGCCTGAGCGATGCGCCATATTGGTGAACCAACTGCGTCACTGTCAGGACAAGGTTTTGACGATATGCAGCCAAATAATGGACGACCTGATACCGGAGAGCAGGGCGAACAGGGACTTCAGGGTGAAGTTCCCCGATGACGTAATGCAAGAGAATCTCGCGGGACAGCTGTGGTTTGGCGCGGAATGCCTCGCGGCCGGTTCCTCGATCATGAACAGAGAGGTTGAGAGTTCAGCTATGAGGCCTTTGGCGAAGGCTTTGACGAAGTCGTTGGACATCGTCAGGAATTTGCTCAGGGAGCACGCGCTGAAAGGTCACATGAACCTCAAGGTATTTATCGCCTGTGTGTGTTAAACAACGAGTCAACTAATACTTTCGTAGATAGTGGGTAAGTACACTAACGCTCAAAACTTTGATCTCGTCCATTAACTCTATTACTGGATTAAGGATTTTTACGCATCTGTGGAAAACTTGAGAGTACAGAAATACACAGAATGCAGGCAATATGCGAAAATGTGTGAATAATCCTGAAATGTGGTACTCGTTATAATTTTTAGTGAATGAAACAATTGTTTCATCTTTATCTTTTTCAAAAAAATTTTCTCTCTGTGTTTTTCGTCGCATCAATTACGAGGTTATTAGCGACGTTGGACGGTGTTGTTTAGCTATATTTTGTTGGTTAATTTTGTTTCTTTGACGAAGCCAAGTAAGTTACGTTCCACTTTTCTTTTTCTCATTATATTCATGATAATATGAATTTGCACAAAAATCCGCAGTCTACACGTTACTAACCGGACGAATTGCATCTGAGTAGGGATATTTAATTCTCTATAACGCTGTGTTACTTGGAAGTTACGTATCTATTTATCTGTATTTTACAATATTTAGTCACTTCTATTTGGGTTGAGCAGAATATTCGTGCTGATTCTTAAGTAAATAAGTAAATTCCATATTTCAAAGAAATGATTTCTTCACTCTAAGAAATCCAAAAAATTCCATTTTCTCAAAATGTTTTTCTAGTTTTCATTTAAGGACGAAATTTTCGTCTCTAAATTTTGCAAATCATTTGTGATCAATTTTTCCTAATAAACTACCTTCTCTGTAAATATCAGATACTTTGTTTGCTGTTTCAGTGGTATTTTTTCTCTTTTTGGTAAAAGGAAAACAGCAAGTGTCGGAAATCTACTGTATTTTCTTCGATCTTCAAAATACTACAACCCCGAGAAGAGAGAATTGTAACGAATCGACTTCCAAAGGACACGTGAAAAAGATTTACCTGAGATAAAGTCCGAGTGAAAAGCGTTGAAATGCAGTAAAACTGAGAATAACTATAGCGAAAAAATGAATTTTAGGCGAGAATGATAAATTTCTTCACTCTATCGGGTTCGATATGAGAACGTCGTATTCGATAAATGGAATTGAAATTTCATCGACTTGAACGAAATCGAATTGAAATGAATTGAATTAACATCGCAGTTTTGCATCGCGTGATTAAACTTCTGAGCGCTAGTGTATATACCCGAGTTTAGTTTGCTCATTAAGCATTTATGTATCCATTTGTTTACCACGTCCTTTATTCTATATAATTTTATCATGGAAATTGCAGAACGAGTTCAGTACTTTCAGTGATCTTCCTTATGCTAAATTATTTTTGCTAAAAGACTGTTGTAAAGAGTGTAAGATTTGGTGGTTTCTGTAATCGAGGTTAGGCAAGTGTAATTAAAAATAAAATATATTAAACGTAGAAATAAATTCATTCCGACTAGATGCACATAATTGATTCAAAGCCACCGAGTTTTTATCGCCATGGTATCCGCAAGCTGCCAGCAAAATGGCAAAAGGTCATCAAGAGTAATGGAAATTATTTCAACGATTGATCTGCTTTTATTCTTTTTAACCCTTTCACCGCTGTTCGCGCCTTGATTTGGCATACTTTCACCATTATTTAATCCTTACTTTTCGCCCTTTGCTCACTTCCACCTTGATTCGGTAAAAGAAATTTTAAAGCGATAAATCTTAATTCAAAAATTCTTTTTAAATTTTAAAACGTCAAAGCGAAAGATTTTGCGGCCGCGATTGAACATCTGCCGTTTGTCATTACGTACTAAACTTTGCCGCAGCGAAAGGGTTAAACAAAACTGTGATTGTACCTGAAAGTCATAAAGAATTCGTTATTTTTACACCTAATATTTATTAGATAATAAAACGGTACAACTAAACTTTATATAATTTCATGAAAGACTGATATTACAGCGAGGCCCCGGACTTACCGTACTAATTGGTTCCAGAGTGGGCGACGTAAGTCAAAAAAGACGTAAGTCCAGAGTACACAAGATAGACACTTATACGTGTATGTACGCAAACATATTATACAGGGTGTCCTGTAACTCCTCGAACACCCGGAAATGGGGTATTGCTGGGGTCACTCTGAACAACTTTTTCCTTTACCAAAATGTTGTTTGAAGCTTCGTTTTTGAATTATTAACGAAAAACACTGGCCAATCAGAGCACGCGTAGAGCCCGCGCTCAGGGACGAAGAACAGAGGCTTATTCGCGCGCGATTCCGACTAACTAAATTCCGGTATCAACTTCATTGTGTGGTTTGCATAAGTTGTTTAGGTATTACTCGTTGGAAGAGATATATCTTGAATTTGAGTTTCAGTGATGTTTGGTTGGTACTGTAGTTCTCGTGCACGCATCTTCCAGACTCATTTCTTCTTTCACTCGCACATTCTCTCTTTCTTTCTTTCTCTATTACTATTTCCCTTTCATTCTACGCAGGCGCATTCCACGGAGACATTCACTCACGTCCACCCAAATCCTTGGGTGGCCCCATGCACCCTTCGTTCACACGATATTCTCAAGTACTCGGTCCCAAACTCTCTTCCTTCGCACTTCTGTCGCTCTATCTCGAGTATTCTCTCGTTCTAAATTAAATAGTAGCATGAAATTTTGTCGCCCCCTACCAGAGCGATGTTCGTGTGAATTGGAAGCGTACAGAACGTCCAGATAAGGAATTGATTCCTTCTAAAACGAAAAAGTAAAATATGTGGAATAAAATTTTTTGGTTGCTTTCCTGGTTTTCGAGAAGAATAATTTTGAGTACGAAAGTACCATCGATTGATCACCATGCATAAGACATTTCTTGTGTGTGATCAAACTGTTAGTTTAAATTATGCTACGTTATATTATTATTTCAGTAAAGCATTTAATATTTAATATTTTTAGTTCAAAACGAAAGGATTAAGTGAATGTTTAATTTTAGGCATCGGGTTGCAGTTAGGGTGTGATTTTCACAAACTGTGTACTATTAATGAAAGTAATTGCTTCGTGTTATTTTATAAACTAATATCATTATAATTCTATGTTCACAGTTATTTTTCTCAGAAGGTAGGCAAATGATTAAAACACTTCATTCTACATATTTTATTTATTTTTTTTATAAAATATCTTGGATTTACTGGACACCCTGAATAATAATATATTTTCTTGCTTGATCGACCGTATTTATAATGTCCTTCACTCTGGACAATTTCCAAGGAAGTAGCCGTGAATTTCTTTGTTTAATGATGTTTATTGTAAATAAGCATAATTCACAATTTTCTTGGTTAAAATAAAAACAAGTGGGTATAGAAGTTTTAGTCACTTTCTTCTGGTGGTACGCTTGTTTGTGTGCTGATGCGAGGTTAAAAAATTGAGGTTAGGAAATGGTAACCGGATGAAGGTGGTTTTTTTTTTAATAAATATTTTATCGTGTCGCTGTGACGTGTCCTATTTCTGCATTTCTTCCTTTCTTGTCCGTCTGTCTTGAGCATTACGTAAGAGCATTTGGAGCAAACGTTGAACCCTGAAATATTTAGGTTAGTCCGAGGAACGTGGACTATTAGGCTGGGATTCACAGAGCTTGATTTCTTCTGTACGTTACAGAAGGACCGCGAGGTATTTAATGTAATATTCACATTAGCACTGGAAAGTGAATTCTGCTTGCGAATATTATGCAAGCGGTAAGTTTAACTGTGAAATTATTTGTATTATGCAAAGTATCAGAACAACACTTTTCTAATAAAAGTACATATACGTTTTTGTTAAATAAAATATCTATTTTGAGGAAAAATTTAGTATTTCATGTTTCGATAATATCTCGAATATTTTTCTTTTTTACATAAGAATAATTTTATACAGTATCTACATTTTAATTTTGAAGAAAAAATGTAGTATTTTGTGTTTCAATAGTACATCTACTTTTTTTACATAAGAAAAATCATTTTGTGCAGTATCTACATTTTAATTTTGAACAAAAATTTAATATTTTATATTTCAGTGATACATCTATTTTTCCCTATAAGATATACAATAATTTTATAAAGTATTTACATTTTAATTTTGAACAAAAATTTAATATTTTATATTTCAGTGATACATCTATTTTTCCCTATAAGATATACAATAATTTTATAAAGTATTTACATTTTAATTTTGAACAAAAATTTAATATTTTATATTTCAGTGATACATCTATTTTTCCCTATAAGATATACAATAATTTTATAAAGTATTTACATTTTAATTTTGAACAAAAATTTAATATTTTATATTTCAGTGATACATCTATTTTTCCCTATAAGATATACAATAATTTTATAAAGTATTTACATTTTAACTTTGAATGAAAATGTAACATTTCATGTTTCAATAGTATATCTATTTTTTTCCACAAGAAGAACAATAATTTTACAAAGTACATCCTGATTTTAATATCACAGTATATTTGAAACTTTCAGTTATTCCATTTAATTGTAAAAACATCATTCCTTTCCAATAAACTGACAGAATTTAATTTTGCAATTTTTTACCTACACACCAACAAACTTCTCCCGCGAAGCTTTCCGAACACAACTCTCGAGTGTTCATAATTTGTTGGAAATAATTTCCCTAACTCCGAAACTAGGATTGTTCCACGTAAAATTAAGATGCACTTTCTGCAGAATTCGATAGCGAAGAGAAGCACACCTCGAGCTTGCTTTTCAACGCATACTCCGCATTGCTGAGCACATGCAACTTTCTCCTTATTGTGATACTCTTTCGAGGACATAGCAATTATTCGATCGTGTCAGTCCTTCTTTTCTTCAACTCTTATCATTACGATTAATATCTTCCAATTTGTATCACATTGTTTGTTCGTTTCGTTGATTATTTAACGTCCTGTTGTTGCTTGTCGTAGAGACACGACGAATCTGTTAACAGTGATCGATACTAAGTTGATGTTTGCTCGAATATATCACGATATTATATTGCTGTTTTTTTTTTTTTTTATTTTTTTTGGCAACGAGAGCGGTCTTTCTCGGACTTGCAGCGGGAAAGCGCAGCGAATCGTTAAAAAAATATATACCGGGTCGGTGTAAGTTGATGCATGCTTTCTGAGAGTTAAGAATATGGAATCTTTCCAGCAAGACAAAAGGGTAATCGAGGCTGCCAGTTTCAGAATCTCGTTCGTTTGCATTTTAATGCCAGGCCTCGGAATTTATGCCTGTTGAAGCACACTTTTTCGGGTCATTTCACGACCATTTTTCGCCGGCTTGTTTATTATCGCGACAATCATTCGTGATCGTCGGTGAACATTATTGAAATTTAAACTGTTATTGGGACTATTTATGTAAATTTCAGAGTATGTATATTTGATTAAATGGTTGATAATGAACGGTGGACTAATGCATTATTTCAAAGAGAATATTAATTTATGTAATTTCTTTGTTTGGAGAATAATTTTTTTTCTCTTATATTTCTGTAGTATTTTGGGAATATAGAAGATTATTTGTTAAATGTGTTTCAAGTTTAATACGTTTGAAAGTTTATTCAAATTGTTTGTGTCACAGTTATGTTGCAAACGTGAATTTTTAAATTCAGATTTAACGTGGAAGCTTCTTTGCGTATTAAATTTTACATTTGCACATGTGTTAATTTACTTCTTAGCAATTATTGTGCGTTACGTTTCATAGTGGTGTCTAAAAAGGACGAGACAGTAGTTTTGTTCTATCTAGGACACACTTTCTCATTAGACTGAGTGCACCTTCAAAATTCGACATTTATTTGCAGTACACGCTCGAGAAAAAACGGAAATATTCTCTAACAGAAAGAAAAAACGAAAAAATTCTATAATAGTTAAATCCAAATTATACTACATTTTGAACAGAAATATCTGAAAAGTCTAAAAACAATTTCCATGAAAAAATAGTTTCCTCGGATTGACAGTTCGTATTTAAATTAATAATGGAAACTTGACAGTAATTATCAAACTGTCAGTTTAATTCAAATTGCCCAAACTACATTTCATAATTTTCTAAAAATTATTTGTAGCCATCAGAGTAGTAAAATTACCCTAAAAAATATTTGATAACAGTTAAAACTCAAATGCTACATTACGAAGAGGAAGATCTGAATAATCTAAAAACAATTTCCATGAAAAAATATTTTCCTCAGATTGACAATTCACAATGAAATTAAAAATGGGAACCCAAGATTAATTAACAAAATGTTCAACCTAGCTCAAGTCACCCAAACTACATTTCACAATTTTCCAAAAATTATTCGTATCTATCAGAGTAGTAAAATCACCCTAAAAAATATTTGATAACAGTTAAAACTCAAATGCTACATTTCGAAGAGGAAGATCTGAATAATCTAAAAACAATTTCCATGAAAAAATATTTTCCTCAGATTGACAATTCACAGTGAAATTAAAAATGGGAACCTAAGATTAATTAAGAAAATGTTCAACCTAGCTCAAGTCACCCGAACTACATTTCACAATTTTCCAAAAATTATTCGTAGTAATCGACGATCGCCATACTAACTTTTCATATTTTCTAAAAATTCATCTGTCACGCCAAATAACAAATCCTCCTAACTTCTCGATTGATTAGTATCTTTTCCAGACGCAGAACCCGCTGGACCCGTCCCTCGAGAAGCTGATCGAGTCGCTGAAGATCTTCGACCGTCTGTTCGCCGATTTCGAGCTGTGCTACGTGAGCGCCATGGTGCCGGTGAAATCGACGAAAGAGTACGAGCAGCAGGAGCTCGTGTGCGTTTTATTTTCGGAGACGCTGCAAAGAGCTCTGGAACGTGGATTGCTTAGCCAAGCAGACGTGGATAATTACGAGCCGGCACTGATGTTTACTATTCCTCGTTTGGCGATTGTTTCTGGCCTCTTGGCTCCGCCTGGAGGCCCGCTGTGCCTCAATTCCCCCGACAACATCAGCGAGATGTTTAGACCTTTTAGGGTAAGCGCTCCACGGACCTGCAATTATCCTCGAGAGAGGATAATTAAAGTGTTGCTTATTCGGTCGATTGGCAAATCTTGCGGAAAAAAGGGTATTTAATGCAATTCGACGAGCAAAATCGTGTGCTCCTTTCGAAGTAACGAAAGGTGTACATTGATAGATGAGAAATTATGTTTAAAGATTCTCCAGAGATGAGATTTCAAAATTGTGGTTTTGGAAACTCGACGATAAAGTGTACATTTCAGATCCTCTCTAATTTAAGTCTCGTGAGAGTTTAAATGGAAATACGACGAGATTAGCGAAGTTCGGTTACAGGCTAGCCGAGGAATTATAGAATGTATAATAGATAGCACGGATGTTTCATAATTGGAAAGTTTAAGACACGTTCTTGGCAAATGAAAAATTTCAAAGTGGTATCTTGGCGGATTGTAGAGAGAGAGAGAGGGAGAGGTAGAAGTGAAAGAAGGACAATAAAAACTTACAGTACTGTTCCTGTCGTGTTAATCTTTTATTTTAATATTTCCCGTTGCACCGGTACTTTTCTGTGTTTTAGTAGCAGGTTAGAATGTTCGTGCAAACGAGCAGTATTGCCACTTTGTTAAATTAGCCCGGTGAATCTGGAAATAGGTAAATTGAAATAAGATTGAGAAGCATAAATAGAAAATTTGTACACGTTCATAATTTTCATATTTATATGGACATTGATAAATTCTTATAAACGTTCCAATAATATTCCAAATATTGGTATAATGCTCTAAATACAAAGGTGAGTCAATAGTTATCCGGAATAAGGTTGTAAGTTTCTTTTACTGAGGCTACAATGTGAGGTGTGCATCTTTAGATGTCTCTGTTCTCCATTCTCCTGTTTTGGAATTTACATTATTGTGGTCATTTACATTAAGATAATCATTCCATTATTATTAGAGATATCAGAACATCCTTCCTATACTCCTGACCTCTCACCCTTTTGGATTATCACCTGTTTGGACCACTGAAAACATCCTTGAAAGATGGAAGATTTTCCATCAATCAGCAACTTGAAGGGAAGCTGTTCATGTTTCGCTTATCTCTGAACCAGGAATATTTCTCATTCACAAGGCGTAAAGAAGAAAGATGGAAGAAGCTGTTCATGTTTCGCTTATCTCTGAACCAGGAATATTTCTCATTCACAAGGCGTAAAGAAAGCTTGTCCATCGACGGACCAACTCTGTTGAAAGTCAAGTGGACTATGTTGAAAAATAATGCTGAAACGTACACCTGTTGAAAACTGTAATAAATACTACAAATAACATTCCGGATAATGATTGACTTACCCTCGTATTTCCCACGATCGTCTCACAACTAACAACAGATCTTTCCTTTCCAGACGCTTCTTCTAAAAATAAGAGAGCTTCTCTGGACGTTGAACAATCGCGAGCTCTACATGCTAGAGAAGCTGTTATGCTCGAACGAGGAGCCGTCGGGTCCAATCACGCAGTCCTCGAAATCTAGCGCGTGCCAGGCGATCCCCGACCTCGAGGAGTTCGTTCACAATTTTTATACCGGTTATCCGAACTGCAAAGACTTCATCGTAGATTTTTACACAGTGACAAGAAACACGGGGAACAATATGGACGAAGTGGCTAATGACGTGGTTCAAACGTTGGAAGAGGAAGAGAACGTCGATCGTTTAACCGAGAGAAACAGCGATCAGGACGGCGAAGAGGACGAGAGATTGGCGAAAATCGTGGAGATCGGGCCTAATCGGTTGAACGTATCCGCGAACGGGTACGACGGGACTGTTAGTAGGTGTAACGATGGCGCTAGGACATCCAGTGAACGCGACAGTGCTCGTGACGAAGTGCAGTATCAAGTGAAAAAACCGGCTAGTTCGTCGAATACCACCAGTAGACAATTATCATGCGACGATAGTCCTTATTCGCGGAGAATAGAACGTAACCCGAGTCCTGTTTCCATAGGGAACGAGAGTACGGCTGAGCAGGTAGTACCCGAGAGTAGTATCTCTGGTTCTAGTGAAAACAGGTGCGGGGAACAAGTGCATAAACAACAGGAGGAGTTCATGACTTCGGACATCTCTGAGATACTAGGCACGTCGGACAACATAGAGATCCCTCAAACGCTCACACGAGAACAACGTGACCGGAGAGACCGTGCATATTCAGAACTCTTTGCCTGACCTGGACTCGAAGAAGCTGATCTCCGAGGCGAACAAAACCTTGTCGAATTTACTGTTAGACGGAGAGTGTCAGAACGAGATCTCCGAGCAAACTGACTCTGGAATTTGCACGGTGATCTCTTCGGAGAACACCAGTCTTTACGATAAAAGTCCGGAGGAGAAGAAGACGTTCGCCAATGAGATTCAACAGGACGAGCAGACGTTGGACGACGAAGACACGCAAGAGAACACCAGTTATTCTTGTTCCAATTTGAATTCACCTAAGAGAAAGAGCTCGACGATATCGGACACCTCGTGTGTGTGCAGCTTGAGAAGCGTGAAAACTGTAACGTCTTTGGATCATTCTATCGAAGTGCACAATCTGCACGGGGCAAGCACCGAGGCGGCTAAAAACATTCCACGGATATCGTCGAACTTCGACGGGACGAACGAGGAGTTCGTCGGTGTGGCGTATGGAAATGGACACATCTCTGTCTGCGATTCGAACCAGTCTAGCTTCCAGATCAACTATTCCGAGAACTGGGAGAACCTGAATCTGAGCATCGACGCTTCGACATCGAGGAAGGAGTTCTGGAGCGATTTGAAGTGCGAGAACTGTCCATCCACGTCGCAGAATATCGAGAAGATCGGCACGAAGATTGCTCAGGAAAAAATCACCACGTCTAGGAAGGTCAGAGACGAGAAGCAGAAGCGGAGACATCAGCGTAAACACGAGAGGAACGGCCAGAGACTGCATCACGGGGTGCACGAGAACAGGGTGCAGAATTTTCGCAACGTTCGTTCATCGGTTAGCACAGAAAGTTCCAGGTCGAATTCGACGGATCGTTGCTTGAATTCTACCAGATTGATCAGTTACGGGGCCAGCCTTCATCCCAGCCAGAACACCAGACAGATGCCTAACTTTGGGAGCCATAGTCCTCGCGCCAGTCCAAGATTGCAGCACTTCGAGACACGTAGCACGCCTGGATCTGGTCAGAGAACTTGTAGTATCGCGTCTAGAGCACAGAGAAATTTGTCACCGCAGAACAGGAAGCTTTTGGATCACAGAAGATCCAGGTCCGAGCAGATTAGCAGGATGAAGAGGAGAGATTTTGACAAAAGGGATAAATACGAACGAGCTAATCAAAGGGCTGAGCAGACCAAGAGAAAATTGGGAAGCAGAAGTCCCAATGAACTGATAAACGACGGTTTGGGACCAAGAACAGACAAGAGCGGTCTGGCTAACGAACCTTCTTCGCCTGTGACCACGCAGACCGTGTCTTATGGCATGCAAAAAGACAATAACTCGCACAGGACCACCACGCGAGCAGTGAGACTGGTGAATGCGTCGACTGTCCAGGGGACGCAGTCGTTTAGTTCTGACCATTCGTTGGCGCAGAAGCCGGAAGTTGGGTCCAGTTCTAGTTGCTCCAGTTGCTGTGACTCGAGTTCGGAAACCAGCGAGTTCCAGAGCGACTGTCAGGACGACGAGGAGATCGCGTTGGCGATGCAAGCTGCTGAAATTGCGAATAGGAATCAGATCCGAGCGAAGTTTCGGTAAAATTCATTGTTTCCCTATGTGAATCTTTAGCACAGTAGACTTCCTCTTAACCGGTCTCTGGTCAAATAAACGAATGGTCGGTTAATCCGAAAGTATATGCCAAATATCATTTACAGCTTTGTACGTATTTTGATCATTTCAATCTATTGATATTTTAAAAATTTGTCAACTAATTAGAAATTAAAATTTATCAGTGGCAACACTATTTTTGTTATGTAAAATATTTACACCTTCATTACGATGTACAGATGTATTCGTAACTTGTATGCTTTTAATTTTAACTAAGCTGTTTTGATGTAATGAATTTCTATGAAGAAATCAAATTTCGAAATTTCTCTGAAAAATTAAATAATGTATTCAAGTTTTTAATTCTAATATGTGAATCTGTATACATTAATTTAGTAATTCTAAATAAATTTCAATAACTCCTATATTGCTTTTCAAAGCTCGATTAATTTGTGATTAATTTCTTGATATTTCTTATTTCAGGTCGTCTGAGGATCTTGTCCACCGTTTGTTCGTCTGTATAGCTGGGGTGGCCGACCAATTGCAGACTAATTTCGCATCAGATCTGCGTAATATTTTAAAGTGTGTGTTCCTGATGAACAGCAGTCAAACCGTGGAAGACGTGGAAACGAAAAATGAAATTTTAACGTCTGATAATCAAGTAGCGAGTCCATTAAACGATACAGCTACCAATCACGACCGACAGGATTCGCTGCAAGAGTATGAGGATGATTTGGAAGAGACTATCGCGGTGACTGATCATAATACAAGTACGTATCTCATTATTTTTGATTACAAGTTGCATATGTTTGAGAAAAATTTTGGTTGCCTATTTAATTGTGTACGATTGGTCGCTTTGTTTTATTGTTATTTTCTTTCTAATTCAGAGAAAATTCGCACACTCTCTTTCTTGGAAGAACTATTAAACAATAGGAGCACTGAGAAAATTTACAGAATAAGAAATTACACGCTATATTTACAGTCAGAGAAATGATTCTGATATGCCATTGATTAATCTTAAGTATATTATAGCATGGGTATTATTTTACAGATGCTTGCTTGTTATGTATTAATTCTTAAATAATACAAACATTACTTCAGACATTTTTACAGCTTATTGAATTGCAGTAATGTCAAAGATATTCATAGTGAAACAATTTCTCTCATACTAAATATTCTCACCTTTCTTATTATTAATGAAATCTCAACAGTTACATCAGAATCTTACTAATATTAATACGTTACTTTCGTTCGTACAGTCTTAGAATTTCAAATTTTTCCAGTGCATAAAAACCAGAAAACTTATTTGTTTCATCCTTGTGGGTAATATTATAATAGTCTCTTTAACCTCCACAAGCCTTCCACATAACCTCCAATATCTGATTCTTGCGTCTACCCAAAAGGAACCGTATGATTTCAATATTACCATGCCTAATCATTTCTCTAATGTTTTCAATTTCAATTTACAGTGTCCCCTGTGACGGAGCGCGGCGAAGAATGCGTGGAAAGAGCGCCAGCCTGGGTTCCGGATAACGACGCGCCTCGTTGCATGGCGTGCCAGGCAGGTTTCACGGTGGTCAGACGTAGACACCATTGCAGAAATTGCGGCAAGGTGTTCTGCGGTCGTTGCAGCAGCAACAACGTGCCCCTGCCTCGTTACGGGCACACAAAACCCGTTCGTGTGTGCAACAGGTGTTTTCTCTATCAGGTGACACCGTTCACCGTATCCCAAGTGACTCCAGCGAGCTGAACTTTGCCGGGATGAGGTATATAAGAGAGAGTTTCTAAGGAATATCAATCGTCCTATTCTTCGTTCGCGACGTCCTTTGATAAATTGGAAGCCGCGCGCAGATCGTTTCACATCCGTTGTTTCTTTTCTTCTGAACTCTATAATAGCGACTGTAATAAGAGTTTTTTGAGGTTTGTCTCTCTTAGGGTATAAACGTTACAGACACACGAGCATAAATATCTATCTATATACATATACGTACACACACGCGTACACAGAGTATGTAACAAGTATTTTCTGGTGGTGTTGTGTTTTTTCGATTTTCATTAGGGCTCTGGTTATAGTGCGGAGAGGTTGCGTGATAGTTTCTTGTGAGGTGTTTGGTAGGAGTTTCGATGAAACTGTGTTTTTGAAGACTTCGAAATAATATTTCAGAAAATTCGTGATACACTATAATTTAATAATTGTAGTAAGAATAATAGAATTTTAATTAATTTCTTAGCTCATCTTTTATTCATAGAATTATAATAAATAATCAAAACTATCTTCGATAAACGTAATTGTCTTCGAACGACAATATAATTCCTTTTTTAATGAACAAAGACAGTTTCATTCTAAACGAACGTCAAATAAATCACGAACGTTGCAGTGAAGTAATGAAAATTGAAAGAAACCTTCAACGTCACTCGATCGCTCTTTGCGTTATTCGTATACTTACGTGCACTTAAAAAAAAGAAAAAAAATCGTAAAGGTTAGAGTATATATGTATATCGGCGCCGATCGCTAATATTTTTACACGTCGTGTGAGCGAACGTTTTTAAGAGGAGCTAATTTCCAAAAGCAGTTGTACCATAATTTAATCTTACTTGCGAGTTTAGGTGATAAGGTGTTGAGAAACGAACGAAAGGGAAGAAAGAATTCGCGGTTGTTGCTTTTTACTTAGAGAACGCGCGAGATTATATTGTACAGAGTATTTCCTTGTATATCGCCTCTGTCCCCTTTTATTTTTCTTCGTCCACGTTCCGTTTGTACTCATATCTTCTTCCGCTAGGGGTATTTCATTTAATAATAACGATGATAATAATATACAATACGCAATCGAGTTTCTAGTTTTGTCGCGTTACTGCTTTACTCGCACGAAAATCATACTTTTTTGTTTTCCTTTTTTTAAAAGAGTTCGTCGTAAAATGTGTGATATAACTTCAAATGTGATTTCAATATAAGAACACGTAATCAAAAATATTGTGTACGAAGATATTTCGTTTGACTTACAATTTTATTAACGGTATCTGTACTGTAAAATATGTTTATAATATTACCAGCCATGTAACGATAATTTATGAGTATTATATAACTATAAACTGCTTGAAATGTTTTTGTTTTTTAATTAGATAAGCATTGGTATAACGAAGTTATTTAGAATTCAGTAACGATGTTAAATATAAAAGAATGTTTGCGTGAACCTTTTGCTTATCGTCAGTTTTGTATCTATAATTGTTTTGTGAAGTTATTTCTACATTTTATGGCGTAATTTGCATAATCATAGGGTAGTTCGCATTTTCGACCGGATTGGATTCAATCGCTTTGTAAAAACGGAGAAATTTCATCGTCAGAGTCGTGTATAACCTATATTGGATGCGGCGAATTTCGTGATACAAGTGAGAACAGTGATTCATAGTGTAAGAATTTGTTGAAATTTTGAAATAAACTTTGTTATGGGAGATGGGGTGTCCATTTTATTTAAAATCTATAAATGATAGGAAAATTTATATATATATTTTGAATGTACAGAGCCTAACATAGAAAAATATTACCAAGGTTTGCCGGCATCAATTTTCTGCTAAACAGTATAGTATTTATTGCTTATATTATAATGTATAATTCTCAAAACAGTGTTTAGCTGATTTTGTTACTTTACATCTTATTCCTTTACTGTGCATCACAAGAATTTTGATAAAAAGCAAAAATATAATACATCACTAAGGTGGGAGACTCAAAATAAAAATTTATTTCTAAATCTCATCACTTCTACACGAAGAGTCATTCAATTCTCGTTTTCACCACCAAATCGTCGTACCCTTTATAAGTTGCGAGAGCTAAAGAATATTTCGATATTGCGTTGTAAAATAGAGATATTTGTATTTATATACACATACATATATACATACATATGTATTTAATTTTGGAATATACTCTTTTTTAGGTAAAACGCAAAATTCTTAAATAAGATAGTTGAAGGTGTTACGGGGAACCCTACGGATATTGGCGAGAAAAAGGGATGAAATATCGTAAACTGAGTGAAAAAAAAGAACAAAATCCTTGTATGTCGCGTTTGACTTTGGGTTGTATTAAACGTTCGCCCGGCGGTAGCGATCAAATAGCGATTTCTAAATTTTTAATATCAAACCAACGAAGACGGAACTAGCGTTAGGCGGACCGTGATAGAGTAATTATTATGTTCGATTGACAAAACTTTCATTTCGAAGAGAAACAAGTTCTTATCAATGTATATATTTGGTAGAAGAAATATAGCGTGGCTGTAAAACAATTTGGAAATTGAACTAAATATGATTTGAATGTTTGAACAAATATTATAAATGGAACACTGTATATTATGTTTGACTTAACTAGAAACACTAATTTTTATCATAGATTGAAAATATGGTTCTAATGATCAATTGAAGATACAATATTTGTCACACAAGTGTTTTTTTTAATGCAACAAAATGTTTCTTACAAGAGTTGCTTTGAATTGTAGTACGAAAGAGAAAAAAAAATTGAGGATTCAATTAATGACAGCGTTATATTTCTTCTGCTTCGAATATATTCCTCAAAGAACGTTGTTTCACCGTATATTCGCCCCCCCTTTATTAGCAAAACAGAGCATAAACTTACTCGCGTTTGAACTGACAACTGCTGTTGTAAATAGCGTGAAAAACTTATCAGCGTGCAAGAAAAAGAGTGAACTGTGTGATGCTCGTGACTGAACGAAGGGAGAAAGCGAACTTTCCGTTTTTCACCGACATGCGAAGCACACGCGTTGGCGAATCGTGATATTATAAACCGTTTAAACAGCTCACTTCAGAGTTTACAATTCATGGAAGCTTAGAAATGGCGAATTTTTAAATAGCATCACACCGGGTGTCCTACGATCCCATGATTCTTCGAAGCGTACATGTGCAGCGGCACGTTACTAGCTTCTGTGCCAAATTTACGTGACAATAAGTTTCTTCTTCTCGTGAAATGCGCTCCTTCTCGCACGAAGACGAGTTTCAGAGAATCGACACAGAATTTTCAAGGTTTTCACGGTTTGGATTACTGAAATTTTTATTCGAGACTTTAGGTTAGGTTAGGTCTGACAAGGAGAGATACTCGACTTTACATTTATCTGCCTTTATTGTACATGCAATTTTTATTGTACTTCAACTTTTTGGATGCCAGGTGATTTTCTCATAGATATGCAAATGCCAGATGCTTTTACGCACAAATGCATGATTACAAACAAACATTTGTATTTTAGGCAATTTTGAAAGAATCTTTATTTTATTGGCTACGCAACATTTATAGTATATCGGAACATCTTTATTATACACAAAACCAAAACTAAGTTTTAATGATTTTGCACAGAAGCATAAAATATATTACGTGAATAGGAGACCATTTGGCATTTAAATTGTTAACAACTGCATAATAATTTTATTGTATCCAACAATTTTACTATTGCAAATAGTTCATTTGATGAATTTATCATATTTTGTGCAAGGTAAACAAAAAAAAATGCATGTAAAGGCAAATAATACTTATTAAAAGTCTCGAATATAAATTCTAGAAATAGAATTGTTGCGAAGATTAACCCCTTCATTGCCATATAAAATGGTCATTTTTAAGATTTGACTAGGTTGTCGAATAGATGATTCAGCATTGAAAGGGTTTTCATCAACGATTAGTGTATTACAATCCAAACGTGAGAATCAATGGTTCCGAATACCCTTTCGATAAGACAGCCGCAACAGTTCGTGTGCATTTCGATTTAAAAAGACTGCTTTCGATTGTAGGCCGTTTGATAGGTTCGATTGTGCTTTTGTGGTTGCGAGCGGTTGTGCTTTTTCGCAGCTGTAAAAGGGTTAGGCAGTATTTCTCGGCTGATTATTAGGAAAATGAATATAACATATTTTTTTGGTCGAATGGTTGATCGGAAAATTGTAGTAGTAATTTGAAATGGAAATGAAGTACGAAGTATTCCTCCATACTTTGTATTTCATTTGAAATGTAATTCTTTTTATTTTTAATTCGAGATAAAAAGTTTATATTTAAGCTTTGGTTATTATTTTTTTTTCTTTATTTTAGAAAGAGGGTTCGAATTTGAATATGCGTTGTTAGAATAATACGGAGTATGTTATATTGAGGTTATGTTCTTGTTATTATTTGACTGATATACTAATTTTGTGACTGATTTATAAATTACTAAGTTGGAAATTTGTTGAAACGATGCCCAACTCTGTGTCGTGTGTCTATTTCTTTGTGTAATCTTGTCGATTTCGCGATAATAGAGTTACAGAGAGACCACGTATTGCAATTATCCGTTTATTCGCGCAATTAATATATTTGAAATTCATTGAAAATGTAAACAAACATTTATTTGTTATTATCGCTATTATTAGAACGATAGCGTAACCTTATGTACAAATTCGTTACAATATTGATAAACGTGTCCTTGCATAATACACTTGTTGGAATCCGGGTGCGAAAGTAGACGCCGATTATATTCTTACAATATAATATTTATTTGCAATGGTGATACTTTGTACACGCGGATATTCGTATAACATGCGAATTTGGCGAAGAGAAGAAAACGTATTCGCTGTGACGTGTGTTGGACTAACTGACTTGACTCTTTCTTTCTCTCTCTCTCTCTCTGACTGACTGACTGACTGACTGACTGCACTCAACTAACTTGGTAAAAGATTTTGTAGGTATATTTATAATGATGGGATTTTGGGGAGAAGGATTCTGGTGACAAATTGCTGGAAAGGACTTTGTAGGGACAGTCAGCGAGTTGATGAGTAATTTGTGTTTGCAGGGTTACTATCTCTATCATTACATTACTATTTCTAGGGTGACTCCGCGACTCACTATCGGTAAACGGTTGGTTATCCAACACACTTTTATAGTTTGTAACAATTAACAATTTTGCGGAAATTAGATATAAAAGGATACAAGTGATTT